TTTAAACTAAGTCTGCTTCCAATCCCACTGATATATACCACTGGTCTTGGACTTCTACCTCCATAAAACTCTTTCATTTGACAGTGTGGTTATTCTTATACCTTTTCATCTCATTACAATCACACTGCATATATATGGACAGATGCTTATCTGCTCTTTCTTCTTGGTTTATGGATAGGCATAAAGCTGAGTTTGAGATAAAACTTTTTCTCCCATGTTGGAAACAGTGTTATATGAACCAATTGTCATGTACAATACAGAAGTTTAAATGTGGCATAGGCACAAGCTGTTGTAATTCTACAGGGCACAAGTAGCATAATCCTGAATATGAGGGCTATGATTCACCAAGGCATTTTATATACCTCTAATGTGTACTTTTTTTTTTTTTTTACAGGTCTTTTCCTTAAGCAACCATTTAAGTAGAGAGAATGTTAAAAATTACATTGGAGGTTTAAACCAGGGGAAGTGTTAAAAGAATATTGTCCTTAAACAGAGGGCACACATAAACCCCACTGGATTACTCTGTAAATAACTGTCTTATAGCATACTTAGAGGTACCATGCAATTCAAAGGCACTTCAAACGGCATGCCCGTCAAATTAAATACAAAATCCTGAAATCAAACAGTTTGTGGGTAAAACAATCAAGATGAAGACTTCAAACTATTTAGTGTTATATTCTGATCACATCCATAACTGAAAGCTCTGGAGCTGAGTTAGCAAGTTTTGTTAAGACATTTACAAGACTGAAAAGTTAGCACAAAGGTGAACAAATCAGAACACACACAACCACATTTTTACAGCTCCAGAGACCCCCAAGATGGCTGAAATTCAGCAACAAATTGTTGATTTTTAGCTATTTCTGGGGGAAGTAAACATGGGATAAGTGTGCTAGGCCTCCACAAGACTCTAACACACCTACTTCCCATCTAAATATGCCCCCAAATCTTAAAAACAAAACACACAGACACTAAGACAGCAACAGTTTTCTGAGCCAGTGCCTCCTGTGGTATCAGTACATGTCTATTGTGCCCCTGGAGACCAAAAATAAAAATAAAAAACAAAGCGCTGTCTGAGCCAAAAAAGGTGCCCACTTCAGCTTAGTAGCTGCAAACTATGCAGCTTTATTAAATGTATAGTAGGAACATACAAAAATAAAGTAGGCTGAATATAACATATAAAGCAGCAACATTCAATAAAACTGAATTATTTTTCAATTAGATTAAAAATAATTGCACTTATAGTGTAATACTGTTAGTCAAAATGCAAAACTGTAGAAAGTACAATTAACACAAATATATTAACATTTTAAGCTTGTGTTGTAGAGAAAAAAGTCAAAGTATCGAAGGAAGCTAAACAAAATAAAAAAGTCCTTAAATAAGATTCTTTATGAATTATGTTTTTCCTGTTGTGAAGGATGGCTGTAGGAACCAATATAAATAGCATTTTCTAGATGACTCCCATAAACAATAAACGAACATTGCTGTAGATTTCCTAACTGCCATATTTAATTAATTGAAAAGCAGAGAATGTGGAAGCTGCAATCCTGCAAGCAACAGCCTGCTGTAACAGGACAGCTCTGATTACAAATATAAAGCATTTTGCAACATTCAGAGATACCATGTTGCCAAAGATATGACATATTAAGATATGCTAAAGAAGTCAAATAAATTTGAGAACAAAGGTTGGATGAGGCAAGCCATTTCATCTGAACAAAGTTGAATGTTGAAATAAACAGAATGGTGGGGATAGTTATTTTAAACCGCCCAGAGTCACTTTTTGTGGGATGGGTGGTATTTAAATCTGAAATATAAATTAAATAAATAAATCCAAAATTACCTATGGCACTAAATACCGTAAGACTAATATGGCTATCCTTTTTTGTAATAATATATGGATTTAAATCAAACTCAAAGAAAACTTTGTTCTACATCAAGCTCCATCCTTGACTTCAAGCAAGATAATTTGAGACAAAATGTTTAAGTATCTATCACTGTGTTAATTATTAGAACCTCAAATAAAGTACGATCTCGGTCAATTTATCTAACCAAACCAGAAATGCGTCCATTTATTGAATCCTACATTTTTGTAATAAAAATGTATTATGAGTGTTGTATCTAAGTGTATTTTTGTCTATGAAATTTGCCTCTTCATAGTTAAAAGTAGAGTTTTAAAGAGGAATATTTTCCTCTCAAGTTATTCTAATACCAATCCAGTCAACAGTTTCCATTCAGTTAGCCAAGATTAACAATTACTTGATATTACTAAGATATCAATCACTTTCAAGGACTATACCACAAACTCATCATGCAAACAGTATTTGGTCTTTTGCCACTCACTTTAAATATATACTTTAAATAACTATTATTAATAGTTGTCTTAAAATCTAGATAATTACAAATGAATATTCTTTAAAATAGAATCTGATCCACAAACTGATTTTATAGCCTACGATTAGACTTCGGGAAATAAAGGGTTCTTTTGGGGGGAAGCCCAGGAGATAAAGGTGACAGGTACCAAAACCTGTATGTTCCATACCAAGCAGAGAGGCCCACCAAAGTGCCAAAAATCTTGTCCCAAAAATCATGGAAATATACAGCAGTAGTAAAAAGCATGAAAAGCCAGATAAAGGTCAAACAAGTCAATGCTAAGAATAAGCTGTTCACCACCATGTGCAGTGTGGAGCCCTGAAAGGTTTTCACACTGGGCATCACAGCCAACTCTTCTAGAATCATTAGAACACAATATGAAAGGAGGAAGGAATGTCCTGAGATATCAAAATTTTGCCATATCCCACCAGCTTGTAGGCACCGCAGCTTGTTGGAATGTTCTTGAGTCACTACATCAAGGGATGATGATTTGTAACAACTGCCTGTGAAGTCCTGAATGAGCCAAAATATACTTGTGCATGTATACCAAATGATAGTACCAACCAACAGTGAGAACAGGCGAAAAAGTACAGGTAAAATCTTCTGGATGACATGGTAGTTGGTTATAGAGATGAATGGCAACAGCAGACAGAATGTCCAGGCCCAAGCAAATTTCACAAAATAGCTGCCAGAGAGAAATTGAAGAAAAATACAGTGAGCGCCAGGCAATATAAGTTACAAAATCATGTACTCCACATCCATCATGATTAATATCTGTTAGGGAGAATCTTCCCATATTTACAAACCCCATAATGGGAAAGTCAACATTTGATTTCATCTAAAGCAATGTCCAGGATCTGAGGAAAAATGTAAAATGTAAAGGTCCAATTACAGTTCCTATTACTCTCAGCTACAGAAGTATATTGGCTGAGGGTAACTATGGTAACCAGAAAACAATAGCTGTAATCAGACTGGCAGAAGAATGATTTAACCTTTTAAGTAACTACCATGGAGGAATTAAAAACTTTCCCCAAAAATTTCAGAAGAAAATATTCCTCAAAAGGAGTTAAGAAAGAAGCAGAGAGATATTTATAAACATCAAGCAGACAGGCTGAGCTTCCATGAAGATTAAGAGTTTCATATCATAAACAATACAAAAATGGATTCTCAGATCAGCTATATTTACTTCCTCCCTTTTTAATGTATTTTTTTAAATTGTTTTTCTTGATGAACAGTTCTAAGAAACAAGTTTGCCATTATTATAAAATTTCACATGCCCCAATAAAGTGGTTAACTGTGGATTACTGGCCTATCCCCCCATCCCTAGGCAACATAGCTATTACTACTTTTTTTGTACATCATAGTTAAAACAACTCAATGTT